GCCCCACCTCCATTCTAAATTTCGTGAAGATCGGGCCATAATTGCGACCTGTAGAGTGATTACAAATTAACATGGACAGACGGACAGACGGACGGACGGACATACATAGCTAGATCGACTCAACTCGGCGAGATAGGAAGATCCATATATATTTTCCTATGTGGGAAATCAATGTTTCGAGGTGTTACATAATTTTTGGCCCAATCAAACTTATAATACCCCCAACACATAGTGTTGTAGGGTATAATCAGGAACTGCAAAAATATTTTTCAGGAACTCTCAAAAGTGGATTTTAATGACTCTCAAAAATAAATTTTTAATGACTAAAACGTGGATTTTTAAAATATATTTTTGTGGAAATTTTGAATTCTTAAAGAATATTTATTCAAGAGCAATCAAGAGCAGAAACGTGGATTTTAAAAAAATATATATTCTCAAGGATAATGTTTGTTAGAAACAGGGATTCTTAAAGAGAATTTTGCAAGGATAAAAACTAGAAAAGTGGATTTTGAAAAAAAAATATTTTGAAGAACCCGCATGACTGAAATCGGTTGAATATTTTTTATAGTTCTAGTAACACGACGGAATCTATATAATTTATGTTCACCGAATTCTTGGTATTTATTCTAATACAAATATCCAAACACTGGTCCTCCACACTTCATTATAATACAACGAATTTGACATCCAACCTAAGTATTCACTGAAAGGATTAACAACAAAAAAACTTAGAAAATATGTCATGACGTTAGGGTTACATAAAAAAATCTAACAAAAAAACAAAAAATACCCTAAAGCTGTAAAATGATAGGGATTATAAGGGTTCATTTTATTGCCACTGCACTCACTTAAAATAAAAGGATTATGTGGAAAAAAGGTCTTCATTCTTTTCATGCCCAACATTGACCTTAGACCTCACAAACACACACGCATGGACATACATACACAAGAATGTAAGTAGATAACGACAGGCAGCGCTAAATAGAAAAACGTAATCATGGCAAAACATTTGAAACCGGATCACAAAAAAAAAATGATAAACAAGTGTGTAGGTTCCAAATAATCGATTAAGGTGATTTTTGTAATTGGACCACGTAATAAGAGAAGACAAGAGATCAGAAGTGATTTTTTATTAAACATACAAATATTTTGAATTAAATGTTGAGGGTATCATTGACTTTGAAAGTGATTCGATTTTAATCTCTTTATAATAAGATGCCCTTTATTTTGGGGGCAAAACAACTTGGGTGGCATATTTCAAAGGTATCCAATTATTTGAATGTGAGCAAATTTTACATAATTCCGTATTTATGTGTGGAACATACTATAAAATATAAGGATAAAATATAGAAATGCGATTAATGCCTGAGATATTGAGGATACATAATATATAAAATCACATTTAATCTATACTTAATTATTGTATACTTAATTATTATTGTACCCTACAACACTATGTGTTGGGGGTATTATAAGTTTGATTGGGCCAGAATTTATGTAACACCTCGAAATATTGGTTTCCCATATAGGAAAGTATATATGGATCTTCCTATCTCGCCGAGCTGAGTCGATTTAGCAATGTATGTCCCTCTGTCCATGTTAATTTGTAATCACTCTAGAGGTCGCAATTATGGTCCGATCTTCACGAAATTTAAAATGGAGGTGGGGTTAGGGTCAGAATAGAAGCCTATTTCTTTTGGAGATGATCGCCAAATGTTTAGGGGTTGAAATGGACCAAATACTAAAAAAATATCGGATTTTGCAGTAGCTGTACAGGTCGCAATTATAGACCAATCGCATGTAGCTAGAGTTTACGGCGGGGAAGAAGCCTACCAATTTGGTTGGTCATCGGATTATATTTAGCGGGTAAAATATGTGCGATATATATGTCTATCAAAGGAAATAAGCTTGAACGGTCTATTTTATGTCGAGAACGGCTGAACTGATTTCGACAGTTCTCATTAATTCAGAATGGCCTCTTGGCAGAAAAGAAAAAACGCATAAAAAATCGCATAAAAATATCTTTCTAAAGATGAAAATATTGATTTTGTAAATTTTCTCATATTTTTTCAATTTTTGTCATATTTTTGGCATATTTTCGTTTTGAATTAAACATTAGGTAATATTTCTACAGCTAACAAAACTAAGTAGTTAGGATGTCATATACAGATCGCATTTATGGCCCGATCCTAACGAAATTTTGCATGGGGATCAGATGAGGGTCACAATAAAAGCCTATTCTTTTTAGAGATGATCGCCATATATTTAGGGGTTGAAATGGACCAAAAAAACTGCAAAATTGTCAGCAAGTCGTAATTATTGCCCGATCCTCAGGCACATTTGAATTGGGGTTACCGGGCATTGCAAAAGCCAAGCAGTTTTGGATGGCCATCCAAAAATATCCAATGTGTGAAATAGTTTGCCAACTTTTGTAGACAAAATACGAAAATGTCCATTACAGTGACTTCTTGGAGAATTTACAAATACATGTAAGACGCACTTCTGACTATTTCGTTAACGCTGATTTCGTTGAAGAATATAGTCAAATATCTGTATCTCATATAGATACGTTTCAGTTAAAAACCAATAATAAATATTAATCTTTTGCCACTTCTGAGAGATTTTAGGTCTTTGAAAAATATTGGTTCCAGATCTAGGAAGACCATTTACGTGCAACATCTACCAATAAATTGGAAATGAGCAAATTAGTTAAAGTTGCTATTATTCGAAAATTAGAGAACGAAACATGATGGTTTTCTTTTATTATTTGTCACAATATCTTGTGGAATTCTTTCGAGTATCTCACCTATATAAACTGTATCGTTTATTGTAGTGTTGTAGGGTATTCAACGGTCGGTCCCGCTCGACTGTAGCCTTTGCTTACTTGTTTCTTATTATGTCTTAGAATTCCTATAAACTTACCCCATGCTTTTCTCAAATTATACTTAATTTTCGCGTTAGCTAAAATTTGTCTTCGTAAAAAAGCTATATATTATGTTCAAATATTTTGTATAACTCAATAAAATATCCTGAAACCTGACATTTTTAAGGTTTCTGCCTGAATAGTGGTTGTGACTGCAATTCGAAGTGTTAATGAGAAGAGAATATCCCACCCAAAATTTGGTCAATATATCCCCATACAACAGTAGTACACATAATGGCTATGGGCCACAAAAATTAATTTTCTTTTCAGGAAAGTCTTACAAGATTATAAAAGTAGAGCTAGACTAGTAGAGCAGATCCTTGTATCGGCATTTTGAGTAAATAAATCAAAAAGCAACTTACATTTACATTTTTTGCGGATCAAGATTCCTTGGAATCCGTTCATTTAACGTATAAAGGGTGAGATGGAAAAACTGCAACCAACTTCAGACTGCTGTTATTTCTAAGCCACTCGTCCGATAGCTGTTAAAATTATTCCAGTGACAGCTCATTATATTGTTTACAAGCGTACCAAAGCATTTTGATGAAAATTTGTAATGGAATTTAAGTGTGATAGAGTGATCCCTTCATATTTGGCTGTAAAACTACAAGCCGCTATCGTTAGAGCACTCCAGCACTCCAGCAGAAATTGTTCGAAAAGTAAAGAAGCGAGTTGATAGAAACCCGCGTCGCAGTGGCCGAAAAAGGGCTGGTGAGCTGAACACATCGCAATTATCCATTTAGCAAATATTGGAAAATGTGCTCGGGGTAAAGGCATTGAAATTCCAAAAAGTGCAAGAACTTACAAGGCAACAGAAAGAAAATAGACCCAAAAAAGCTAAAGAGTTGCTTCGCTTGGCCGAAAGTGGTGAACTGCCGAATTTGGTTTTCTCCGATGATAAAACATTCGTTGTCCAGCAGTTTGTAAACAAACTGAATGATCGTGTTTACTTGCCAAAGAATTCAGCTGAAAATGTGCACCTTCGGTTGGCCAAGAGAAGTCAGGCGCCGGCCATGGTGATGGTGTGGGATCGCCATAACAGCCGGTTGTCGCTCTCCGGTTGTATTAATCGACCGTGGAATCAAAATAAATGCCGAATGTTATCGCGAAAATATTCTGGAGGGTGTATTCAAGTCTTGGGCACGCAAACATTTTGGCCGCAGACCTTGGACATTCCAAAAGTACTCGCCACCCAAGAATGGTTACAAAATGAGGTTTCTCACTTCATTTCTAGCGCACATTGGCGATCAAAATCTCCGGATACCTATCCGTTGGACTATTGTGTCTGGAGTATTTTGGAAAGCAAGGTTGGGACTAAAAATACCAAAGTGTCGATCACCTCAAGCAAACGCTTCGCCGGGAATGGGTTAAAATACCGCAGAGCAACATTCGGGCAGCGAGTGACGGTTTCAGTGACTGTTTGAAAGGTGACCAATTTGAACAAATCTGAACTTATTCTAAAATTTAATGCTAGTTCCGAAATTTTTTGTTTTCATTCAATAAAATTTAAAAAAAAATGTAAAAATTATGGCGTTTGACTTTGTTGCAGATTTTTTATCTCACCCTGCATGTAGGTCCACGTTTTAATATAACTCTCATATAACGCTTGCTTCGGATATTTGGTATTTTGAAGATTTAATCTAAATTTTATCATCGGATTTTGTTCAAATTCGGAATTTATTGTTCATAATCTAAGACAGGTGTCAAAACATTCTCCATATTCGTCCAAGGTTTCTATATTAGTGTACCCATAGATATTCTGAATTTTGATGGTACATGTAGATTAAAGTGGAATACCTTTAAATACAAATACTTTTACTTATTTTTTTCTTAATGGTGGAGGATATTAGAAGTTCTACCCTGTTGAACTTAAAACTTTCTTACTTCTTTATCCAAAAAATGTTTTCAGTGACAGAGGTCGTTTCTAGCATTAGCCAGGATTTTGTCCATCAATGTAATCGACTCATTTGTCTGGATAAAATTTTAGTTCATCTCCATCATAAATAGATACAAAGTACATGTAATTACAAATTAAAATTAATAATAAACAAAATTCGCTTTTTAAAACGTGTGCGAATATCTCAATAACAACAAGTGTAAAACAAAGTCGTGTATTTATGTATTTTTGCATACAACTTTTTTATGAATAATAAATTGACACATTTTCATTGAAAGGCTATTCATTGCCATAGACATCGGCAGCATGATTTTTCAAACACATCATCAATTTGTAGGCAGTTTCACAATCATTTGGCCCCCTCTCGGTATGGCAATTATCGACAGCCTGCAAAACCTGATGATTACGTGACTTAAACGAAGGATAAATTTCCAAGGACTTAATTAAAGCCTTCACATCGACAATGCCATTCTTGAGGATATTTTGTTTTTTGAACAAACACTCCAGGAAACACTTGACGTGATCGTTTACATTATTTGCGGGGTCTTCACCAAAATCGATTACCTCATCCGAATCGAGAGGATGTTCCTGCTCACAGGCAGCTTTAATATTTTTAAATTCCTCCTCACCACTGGCCTGCGGAATTATAGATAGCAAAAGTTTAATATATTTGAATGGTCATTGTTCCGTTCAACACCTACCTCAATGGCGGCGACCAGGCCGTAAACTATCATGAGTGTTAATATTTTGAAATATTTCATGATCATCAAACGTGTTGCGGTTCCGTCCTGGGGCTAAATTGAAAATGTTTTGCAATGTTGTTGAACAAATAATTGCCTTTTTATGAAATGTCAGTGTTTTTTTTCGCATGCATTGTTTTATTGAAATGAGAATAATTGTTAAATTTAATTTAATTGTTTTAATTCGAATAAACATTTGAATTAAAAAGCGTATACGAAATTATTGTGTGGTTTTGTGGACATATTCAATTTATCACATGGGCGTTGAACACTCGAAGAGAATTGTTAATAGAATTCAGAAGTTGGGGAAAACATTTATAAAAATATATAATTAAATAACGGAGATCATCTCCATTATGTATATTTTCAATTTGAAACCTTTAGCTTTAGTAAATTTGCTATTTTTCCCCGAGTGTTAATTGTTCATATTCAAATTAAATTGAAATTTCTTTACAAACAAAAAAGTCATTTATTTTCTCAACAATACTCTACACTACAGGGTTTTCGAAAATATATGTTTATACCCTCCACCATAGTATTGAAGGTATATTAACTTTGTTATTCCGTTTGTAACACCTCGAAATATATATTTCAGACCCCACAAAGTGTATATATTCTCGTGTATATATATCGGCATAAAATTCAATATCGATTCAGCAATATTCATCCGTCTGTGGAAAAGAAGAAGGTTGATAAATTTTTTCTCAGTTGTATTCTAAGCCTGCCTTCTGGTATTGAAATATAACTCAATGTTTTGGTATAGGCCGCATAAAACTGTACCGACAAATTCAAGATTTTTTGAGTATCTAAGTCACAATTTCAAACCAAAATTTGTCAATTTGTGTTCCCACAATTTTCGTGTATAAGTCCACATATTCCGAATTTTGATATGTGACACAGTTTTTTCCAGAATTGTTTCACATTTGCCTTTTGGAGTTCATAATTGATAATAACTCTAACGACAAAAAAAGTAAGGAAAGGTAAAAATCGGGCGGGGCCAATTATATGACACCCTACACCACTATGCATATTTAGTAGAGCTCCCGTAATCAAAAAAAGTTTATATTGGGAATTTATGTGAAGAAGATCATACCAACTGTGAACTTTATTTGAATGCTTGTCTTGGAGTTTAGAGTAGTCACAATTTGGGAATTATATCTAACTCTGAATCCATTTTATTAGAGCTATGGATATACCGGACCGAGTTTTACCAAATTTAAAATTCGGTATAATATGAAAAAATCTATCAACTAAGGGCTGATATTTCATATATGGTGAGCAATAACCGTAAAATCGGATGAAGATGTATATGTAAGCAACATAAAAATCGGAACCGATCTTGAAAAAATTTGGCAGATGTATTATTGAATGGTATCTAATGCCCTGTATCAAATATCATTGTTTTGGAGTGCAAATTACGCATGTGAGGGACTTTAACACCAAATCGGATGAAGCATATATATTGGAGCTATAGCTATGTCTGAACCGATTTTCACCAAATCTGAAGTACTTGCTTCTAGACTGAATTCGAAAGGATGTGCCTAAATGCTGGTCATTTGGACTGATATTAGCCATTTGGTGAGAAATTAACCGGAAATCTTTTGAAGATATATATAGGAGTTGCATCTAACTTTGAGCCGAATTTCACTAGTTTCAATAAGGTTCGTCCTTCGGCCAAAAAATATTGTTTGAAAATTTTCATCTCAATTGGATAATAAATGCGACCTGCATTTTGTTCGCAAAAAATACATGGACAGGCGGACGGACAGACATTTATTATCCAATAGACTCATAGACCCACACAACTCATAGGCCCCCATAAGATTTTCATATCAAATTTAAAGAGCTTTCTTTTTACAAAATTCCGAATAGTACCAAATTTGGTGAAATTTAGTACTTTAAGTACACTTATGCTTTGGTTTGCTTATCCCATTTAGTACAACTTTGCAAAACCACCTTTAAATCTCAACCTTGCACACTAGCAGTGATGCAAATATTAGCATATAAAATATGGAGCCCAATCCGTTTACCCATACTCAAATTTTACCAAACTTAGTGCTATTTAGTACACTTCTCACACTATGTACACATCTCCAAAAGCCACCATGTTATATCAACCCTAGTTCACAAACCTGATTCTCATACCAAATGCTAAAATGTTTCCTCGAGACGTTCACATAATTTCAAATGGTACCAAGTTTGAATTTAGTACTCTTGTTGTACCTTTAAGTTAAAAAAATATGAAAATTTCCACTAAACCGCGAATATTTTTAATCCCGGCCAAATCAAAAATGCATTAAAAGGTCACTTCTGACCATTATAGTGATACTGATATAGCTAAGATTTCGGATATATAGCAAAATAGTTCAAATCTAAATTTAAAAGATTTTTGTTAGTTGTTCCGCTTATATCTAAAGAACCGCTGGACTGATTTTCACAATTCTCATCAATTTGGAATGGTCCCTTGTCAGGAAAGTATAAAATCTAAAAACATCGCCTAAAAATATTACAATAAAAAGGAAAATATTTTTTATTCCATATTTTTTAATTTTTGTCATACTTTTTTATCGCATGCGATTTTTTCAATTTTACAAACAATTTTGAATTGTAAATTTTCTAAAGATTTTCTACACCCCGCAACACTATT